AAACACTCACCATCAAATTTAACTGACCTTGAGCAGTTCTGCAAAGAAGAGTGGGCAAATATTGCTAAGTCTATATGTGTAAAGTTAGTAAAGACATTTCCCAACAGACTAAAGGCTGTAATTAAAGCAAAAGGTGGTTCAACAAAATACTGACACAAAGAGGTGATCCTTTTTCCAACTCAGTGATTCTGTTTTAAATTTTTTTCTGACATGTTGGTGTTATATCTTTCACTTGGATGTTATAAGTTGCACTGAGTACAGCTGGATAAAACAAAAACTGTTTTTCTTCATTTCAGGCTACAAAGCAACAAAATGTGATTGTTTTAAAGGGGGTGATTCTTTTTTATACCCACTGTACATTGTGTTCATTTTAGAGGTTTTAAAAAGCATTGCTAAGAATGGTGAAGAATGGTGTATTTCATCTCAAGATAATATATATATATTTGCTGCATTTATAATGGTTTGGAGCAGTGGCTGAAAAAAAGACATAATAAAATACAATTAGCGATATAAGCATGCATTTAGGATACCAAATTAAAACTGTTTAAATTAACCAGCCAACGAGGACAGGTTGTGTCCTGAATCCTCACTGTTGACTCTATGCAGTTCATGGCAATATTTCAGTGGTTGATTTTAAGGATAATTGTACTTACTTCCCATTAAGCAGATATATTTCCAGATATAAAAATAAATATAATAAATGTAAAATGTAACAAAATCACTAAAATAGATTTTAACATTTATTTACATAAATACATTTTTGATAAATTTTAGTTGCTTATATTTCCTTGTATTTTTTTTTACATTTTTTTTTACATATTTTATTAATATATAAATACATATTTTTTTTTATTCATTTTGCATTTACCCAAAATATATTATGAAATTAGAAATATATTTTCTTGCCTCTTGACGTACACACTGAAAAAAATGTTTCATTCATCCAATTAAAAAAATGTAGGGTTATGATTATGATTCACATCTATATTTTTTAACTTGAGCCAATGAAAAATAAATAACTTGCCCTTACATTTTTTTAATTGGATGAATGAAACTTTTTTTTCAGTGCATTTTGTATTATATTTTTTGCAAATGAAAGTTTAAACAAATTATATTTTCAATCTAAAAAATATATTCCTTAAACTGCAGTTTACAGCATATTTAGCATATATTTTAAATATATTTTGAAATGTACTTTTTGACATATGGGTTTTGAAAAAACTACCATTTGATGTCCAATATAAAATCCTGATTTTGAAGCAAAACTAGCTGAGAACCACTGGTTTGGAATCAGGTAAAGGTAAATTACAGACAGTTGTAGGTTAAGTTATACAGTATTCTGGAGAACATTACCTTCAAAAGAGATATTTACGCTTACAGACATACAGTATGTGATATAAAGAATCTCTATAATGCATGATCGTGTTAAGTAAAATAAGGAGTGACAGAATATATAATCTCAATTGTGAACTCCATGAGGGAGGGGAGAAAAAAGAGATATAGACTGAAAGAGAGGGGAAGAGCACTGCCCCCACTCTGCTGTCCAGATGTAGAGTTTTAAAGGGCTATGAGCTGAACAGATGGCCTTCTACTCTATTGTAGGCAGGCTGGGATTATGTGGTTGCACACGACCAGCCAGGGGGTGCAGAGCTCCACATGTGCTGCAATTTTTGTTATTTTATGTGCTCAGCAGAAGAATGGTGTATTTCATCTCAAGATATGTGGCAAACAGTCCTCATGTCTCCTTGCCCCTGAAATGCACGGGGGGAGGATGGGACAACAACCCCTACGGCCTCTGAAAGTCCTGGTATAGCTGGGGGATTACACTGGATATAGGGTCTGCATGGATTACACCGCTTAGTGCATTTTGTCAGATCTAATGAATTAATGGGATCGCTGTAGTGAAGTTTAGTAATTAGAGATGCATGAACACGCTGCTGTTTGACAGTAGAGATAAATGAGATCAATGTAATGATTATTAAATATAATAACCCTGCACAGTGCATTTAATACCACATTTGTATAATTAATTGTGCGTGAGTAGGCAGTATGGCTGAGAAGTAAATAAAGAATAATAATTTGAGTGCAATAAAAAGTTCTCTTTTCACCTCTTGTAATCTAAATTGATTAACCATTAAATGTAAATGTGTTTATTGACGCTTACTATACATCATCATTTTACATAATTTAAAATGGATTATTATTGTTGTACTGTATTTATCACATAATCCTGAAATGAATTTATATTATATTTATATATCATATATACAGTGGGTACGGAAAGTATTCAGACCCCCTTAAAATTTATTTATTTATTTTCTTAATTTTATTTAATTTTATTATTGTTGATTTTGATTGCTTCCATTGTCCTCATTTGTAAGTCGCTTTGGATAAAAGCGTGTGTTAAATGACTAAATGTAAATGTAAATATATATCATATATATCTCATATATATCATTTATATAATATATATATATATGTGTGTGTGTGTGTTCATTCTATTAAATCATGAATAATATTATAAATATATTTTTATTAATATTAATACATTATAAAGAATTTTTAAAACGAAGTTGCTACTGTTTTTAATGGCTTTGATTGTGATATGGACCAATTTTGAAGTCTTGAGTTAAACTGTATATTGTCTGAATTCCCTGCTAGTTGGAAATTATTCTTATGACAAATTAAAATATATACATATTATATAAACTGGTGTTCTATTTATATAGCAAACAAATATTATACTACATAGTAAACCGGTTATATTTAAATAGTAGTCGTCGTTTACAAAGTATTCTTACCTCGAAATGTTATCATTTGGCCAACTTGTTGAAGTTGAATAGCACTGCCGCCACTTTACGCGCAACTCTTCCGCCCCCGCATGTAGGAAACAGGAACAGCACCTATTGAAAACAATGTGACTACGCACAATAGATCTGTATAGGTCTGTACAATAATAGGTTACTGTATCTAATTACTCAAGACCTTATATTTGCACCATTACTGAAAAATAGCCCAACAGTAATGACTGTATTATCAGATCGACCTCCAAACGCTAGAAGTCACATGACGACCATTTACCCCAATGACGTAGGTAGAAATCGCTTTGTTTTGGCACGTGACCGGAAGCGTCGCAGGTTCCAGGAAGTGTTTCATGAATTCAGTTTGACATGTTGGAAGTTGAGAGATGAGCGCAGACGACCTATGACAAATTGTGCCTACAGGTCAGGGCGTATTTCGTAAGAGCCTCGGACCAATGCAGAACTAAACTACGGAGTGTGACCGGTCACTCTGTCCAGTTGTTTGTCATGTTTTAAAGTTGGCAGGCAGTTGTCGGGCAATGCTAAAGGACGAGCGCACATGCTAGCGCTGCCCCAGTGTCACTGCCTATGAGTCACAGAGAGCTGTGCTGTTTTGTTCGTCACAAACAGTAGTTTGTTTTCGTGTGTGGTTGTCAGTCGCGGTGTGTTATGTAAGGGTCTTTAAAAAGAAAGGAGATATTTTACTTTCTTTTCAGCCAGCAAGGACAGCTTTACTTCAGAGAGGAGGACTTTGTTTGGCTTGGACAGTGGAGATCTTCACTCTATTTGGACTGAAATGATCATAGACTGCGGTTGACCGAGGAACAGACGGTCTCAGAACAATGGTAGGTTCACTACATAGTTCATTTAAAATGAATATTCTGTCATTTTTCAACTCCCCATCATGAGTTGCAAAATGAAAGCCTCACTTTCACTTTTAATTGTATGGGAAAAGATGCAGTTAAAATGACTGAGGCTGTCAACCCCTAAGGTTCTGCTGTACAAACTGTAGAATTATCTAGCAAATACTCAGAAAAATGACTTATGGCAAATAATTGTTTAGGACTGTGGTTCTCAACCAGGGAGCCAGGGTCCACTAGGGGCAGAGGCGGACAGTAACTAAGTACATTTACTTGAGTATTGTATCGTCTCCTAATAAAACACAATAGGTGTTGGATTTGAAGCAGCATTGCACAGACTGTTCTGTGTGTGACATCAAAGAATAGCGAGAGCGATTAGACGGCATTTAAAATGTTTGTTTTGATGTCAAGTAAGTCTTGCTGTTTTGCTGTTTTGTTAAAGCAGTGTTACTGTTGTAAAGTTATACATCTACAGTTGTGTTGCTG